CCATGCACTTAAGCTATGTCAATAGGCCGTTCTACCTCTTTGCCCAGGATCAGAATGGGAAGATGGTGAAAGGGAGGAGAGAAGCAGATGGGGAAGGGGGGAGAGGAACAGAGTGGGAAGATGGGGAAGGGGGGGGGGGAGAGAAGCAGATGGGGAAGGGGGGAGAGGAACAGAGTGGGAAGATGGGGAAGGGGGGAGAGGAGCAGAGTGGGAAGATGGGGAAGGGGGGGGGGGAGAGGAGCAGATGGGGAAGGAGCAGAGTGGGAAGATGGGGAAAGGGGGGGGGAACAAAATGGGTAGATGGGGGAGATATGGGAAGAGTGAGGCCTGAGCACAGCTGGGTATCCCCCCCCCCTCAATTAGAATATAAGTCTTGTGTATCTATAAATTAACCACTAACATTTTCTAATGTATAGTGTATCATATAAACAACAATTATTATTATATTTACCAATATCATCCTTGTTAAATTAGCAATTCAGGCTTCCTAATTTTTATAATATTGTCAAGTACAGTATACAGTATTAATTAATTATACAGTTTAATTAATGAAGGATCTATAAATCATTAATTACTTGAAAAATAAAATAGTATACATTAATAGTATGAACATTAAAAACATCTTTACTCCAATAAATATATTGGCCTAGGTGAAGTTAGGAAAGGCTTTAGTCTTGATTATTTTATATTTTACACATCTTATCAGGGTGAGCAATTTTAGGGTATATATATATTCCTGAATTTGCGTGAAGGCTACTATCTCATTTCTGGCCTCAATGGGGACAGGAAGCAGGGGGGTTTGTCAAAGGTTGCCCCCCCCTCCCCCCATATTGTTCTAGAGGATTATTTTTTTATCTGGATTTTAAACTGACATTGTTGTTGATATTCTGTGATATGCATTGTTTTACCCCACATTAAAGTTCTATAATTTTTCAAAAGCATTTACCAATTATCTGACAATTTGTGGAGTTCATGTAACATAGTTCTTTGTCAGGCTTCAATATCAGTTTTGCTTCCTACTTTACCATAGTGTAAAGTATGATGCCTACAAATTTAATGATGCAGTTTGTAATGTTCTCATCTGTCATTTATGTATACAGTATAACAAAATGGTTTGCCTCAAGATGGAACTTTGCAGTACTCCACTCGCCACATTTTTCAATTCCATTAAGGACGATCCTTTGCTTCTCATTGGTTTATGCTGAATTGTAATGCAGAAAACATACAAAAGGTTTGGTTAGACTTATCCTAATTGGAATTTATTGGTTTAGTCTTCATGGCAAATAAAATATTGAATTATTTAATATGTAGGTCTATAGGTCATCTGCAATAGTGTCATTAGTGATAGAGACGACTATTGTGAATATACCTTTGCCAAGTTCTCCAGTAAATCCCATAAATCCTCCTTGACTATCGGTGCCATCTATAGATATCCCAATATCAACATAACTTCATTCTCAGACAACGTAAGGAATCTTATCATAAATAACAATCTCAACAAAAATCACATCATTCTGGGAAGTGATTTCAATATTGACCTGGGTTTACAAAATAACCCTCAAGTTGACTATTTCCGTAACAGCATGTACTCCTGTATGCTAATCCCCACAATCACCAAACCAACCCGAGTCACTCAAACATCTGCCACTACCTTGGATCACTTGTGGACTAATATAACAGCTCCCCTTACATCTGGTATAATCTATGACAGAACAACTGACCACTATCCTACTTTCCTCATAGCAAACATTGACATAACACCACCAGAAGGCAAGAAACACTCATTCAGGCTACACAGTGAATCAGCTTTAGGCAATCTCTCACATGCACTTCACAATATTAACTGGGAATCTGAATTCAATAATACACAGGATATACAGGTAAACTCATTAACTAATCTCTTTCTCTACAAAACTCTAAGCCTCTACAACACTCACTGTCCCTTCCTTACCAAACAAGTAACTGACAAAGGAATAAACAATCCGTGGCTCACAAATGGCATACTCAAATCAATCAACAAAAAACATGAATATGAAAAGAAATTTAGGATTGGCCTAGTTACAAAGGAAGTAGTTAAAAGGTACTCATCAGTGCTTACCAGTATCATAAGAAAAGCTAAACTTTCATATTATGAGACTAGATTCAAAGAAGCAAAAGGCAACATGAAAAGCACATGGAAAACCATCTCTAATATCCTAGGAACTTTACAACACTCTCACAACCAGATAACACTCTCTAAGGATGCCTTTACACCTTCAACTGATTTAGAAATGTCAAATGAATTTAATAGCCTCTTTTCATCGGTTGGTTGCCAGTAAAATTGCCACCTTGCCAGTAAAATCCCACAGACTCGGACACATATCAACACTCATCTCTCAGGTAGCTATCCAAACTCTCTTCTCCTTTCACCAGTCAGCCCGACAGATGTTGTGTCCATCATACACTCACTAAAAACCAAAGCTGGGAACATCAGTGAAATCCCTCTTGTATACAAGAGCGCCTCCCATGCCCTTGCGCCATCCATTGCTCTGCTGTTCAACAAATCCCTAGAGTGTCATACCTTCCCTGATATCCTTAAAAAAGCAAGAGTAACGCCAGCTCATAAATGAGACAATCCGGCAGACATAAACAGTTATAGCTCTATCTTGGGCTATCTTTCTATTGAGATCAATATCAAACCTACCCATACTATCAAAAATATTTGAAAAAATTATCTACAAACAGCTCTACTCCTACCTCGTAAAATTCGACATACTCAGTCCCTGTCAGTTTGGCTTCCGCTCCCAAAAAGAGTACCAACGATGCAATTATTAGTCTCCTTGATATAATTTACTCAGCCCTTGACAAAAATGTGTTTCTGATTGGACTCTTCATTCACCTAAGAAAGGCCTTTGATACTGTTAATCGCAACTACCTCTTACGTAAACTCCATCATTATGGAATCCGAGGCCATTCCCTGGACTATATCCAATCCTATCTTAGTGATAGACACCAATGTGTAGCCATCAATGATATAACCTCTCCCACTCTACCAATAACCGTTGGAGTGCCACAGGGCAGCATCCTGAGACCTCTCCTATTTCTTATATACATCAATGATTTGCCTAATGTCTCTAACATTCTGAAACCTATATTGTTTGTTGATGATACTACCTTCATCTACTGTAACCTCAACTAAATAATGTTGTTAATAATGAACTAAAAAAAGTCCACTTATGGATGTCAACCAACAAACTAACACTTAACATAGAAAAGACCTACTACATCTAATTTGGAAGCAAATCACCAAATGCAATCCAGCTTCAGATGACAATGTTAACATTAGTAATAAAAATGCTGGAAAGTTTCTTGGCCTATTCCTAGACAAGAGACTCAACTTCAGCACCCACATACAACACGTAACTAAGAAAGTCTCTAAAACAGTTGGTATACTCTCCAAAATCAGATATTATGTACCTAACTCTGCTCTCATCTCACTATATTATGCACTAATCTATCCCTATCTTAATTATGGTATCTGTGCATGGGGTTCAACCACTGCAAACCACCTCAAGCCCATCATCACCCAGCAAAAATCTGCTATTAGAATAATAACAAATTCTGCTTTGAGACAACACTCAGCCCCCTTGTTTAACTCTTTAAACATGCTAAACATAATCTCACTCCATACATTCTCTTGTGTCAACTACATGTACAAAACCCTGTTCTTAAATGCAAATCCTGTTCTGAAACTCTCCCTGGACAGTTGTAATAGGACCCATTATCACCACACCAGAAATAAATATTTCTTTGATATCCCCAGAATCAAACAATCTGTGTAAACACACTATGCAAATAAAGGGACCTAGTCTATGGCACTCACTCCCTAATGAATTGAGAAGCTGTCCAACTTTTGCATCATTCAAAAACAAAACTAAAAAGTACCTAATTTCATCTTCATAGTTTTCTACCTTGCTGCTTTAAAATTGCACTGTATCTTGTGCTACCCAATCTTTATGTACCCAATCCAAACAATTTTACCATTGTGATCATTGCTGTTTTCTTAAATGTGCTATCAATTTGCTATATGGTGCCTATTAATCTTTGTGTAAATTACCAATCAAGCTATCAATGCAATCAATCAGAGCTTTAATATACCAATGTGCTTTAATATACCTACTAATCTCTCTCATCTCATTTTTTTCTTGCACTGTATCTGTTACTTTATTAATTCTGCTAGAATTTACCTGCAGTGTTTGGCTTCCTTTACTGCTTCTTCTATTTTTCCTTCTTGGCCACTTGTGCATAGGTCAGTTGCATATCTTTCTTTCACCGTTCTATTCCCTGTGTAACTTTGTCCATCTGTACTGACAAGAGCTGTTAATCCTGTTGGATTTCCTTACCTAACCTATTGTAGTCATTTATGTTTAAATTTGCTTTAACTTCTTCCAAAGCTATATTCAAGAGTTTATTTTCCTCTTCCATGGCTTTGCAATTATCCAACTTGTGTGGCTGGGTGTGTGAGACACTCCCAGTGGCCTCAAGTCCTCAGTGACCCACACATGATTTGTACAAGACTAGATTGTGTTTACTTTGTTGGTGGGGTGGGGCCCCTGGGCTGGTGATAGGAGGGTGGGTGGGGAGGCATTTACTTGTGAGGTCAATTACAAAATGGTGGACCACCAATACAGTGCACATGTATTTTCATTTATTTATTAATGTTATTATATCACTTCAATTTTAAAAAACGATTAACTTTGTAAAGCAGGATAACTCCATCATTCAAGGTAAATAATGTTGTGGGTTTTATATGGTGTCTTAATTTTGAGGATGCTTGGGAACACCTCTCCCGTTTAAGGCATTACATATATGGAAAATCTCGATCCACATTCTGAACAATTGCTTTATAGTCTTGGAACGTAACTTGTTCGTAATTGGGGAACTGCCTGTACCATTTTTAGAATATAATGAATAACAGCTTCAGGTTAAGTGGATCTATAAAAATTTAATAATACAACTAATTACAAAAACTTTTACTATAAAAAGCAGCTACTGCTATACATACATACAGTATATATATATTTTTAATGAATATATATCTAAGTATATACACACAAGAATTCAACATTTAAATTATCAGAGCATAAGATGGATAAGTTTCATTTGTACAGAAAATTGTAGAATAATGAAAGATGAAGAATTATTATGAATGTAATGGCCAAGATATTCCAAATGATTGAAATTCTTTACAAATATTCTTTTTAAGACTATAGCAAAATTGTTATGAATAAGTTAAAATTCAAGTTTAAAATATAAAATGGTATTACAGTACTGAATATGCTAAGCCCTAGGCAGGAAAACAAACTTTAAGATGTAAAAAATATATCTTCATTCTGGGTGTACAAATTTGTATCCTTTACTAGATCATCTACCCTTTAGTACATAAAGACTAAACCACACACCAGAAGATGAAGAGACAACAACGTTTCAGTCCGTCCTGGACCATTATCAAGTTGATATAAAGGTTTAGTTGTCATATCTTCAGCTACATTATTGTGATTCATCGTCTGCATATAGCTGTACAGTATATACATTGTTTGGAAAAAATAAAACATCCACGGGTAGTATGGCAAATAGTTTTTGCTAAATTTGCCAACTTGATACAAATAGCTTGAGCACACACACACACTGTTAGCACCAAGTTCAGTCTCTAATTATTAGAGTTTTGTGATAATGTATGCCATCAAATGTTCTGTTTAACAACAGTAATAAAAATCAATTTTTATTGCTAGACACCTTTTGTCTTTTACTACAAAGGGGAGATACTTTCAGTTATTATTTAATCTCGAGTTAAAAATAAAAATGCCTGTTGTGTAAATATTATTGTACATGTAATAATACCTGTTGTATGATACATCTAGTAATACCTTTGTTGTATTAATGACATGTACAGGCTGTCTTTGATTTGCATGATTTTTGAGAATGTGGAGTCAGTGGTATGAGAGTCAACACTGTTGTACCATGTTACAAAGTGCTAGGGTAAATTTTAACGTCACACTGGTTTAGTGTACGTCTTCCAAGTTCGACAATGTAGAGAGATTTTGGAATATATTCTTTCATCATTTGCACAGCCCAAGCATTCTGACTTCATTATGTACTGTATTTGTGGCTGTGAAGTAGAGGGAGCATTAAGTGTTAAATGTCCAAATAGGTGCTGTATTAAGTAAAGAGCAGAAAAACTTGAATTTTTGGAGACCTCTGTTTATGTTCTATAGGTGTCTCATATATCTTTGAGTTTGATGTGTGTGATTTTTACTGTGTAAGTCTCTTATAGAAATACATGTGTTGTGCAACAAAAGGGTTGCATATAGTAATTTGGCATTTCCTCTTCCATCACTGGACATATGTGCTATACATTCTACACTTTTATCAACAGCACTGATAAAAAATTCGGTGAACTGCTGAACTGTGTTTGTAATAATCAACTGAATTTACACTGTAGAATGTCACACACTGATACTATTAGATCTAAAAGTGAGTAATTCAGTGAACACTAGGAATATCTTGGCATCATGTTTAGTGAATAACAAATTCTAGTACCTTGCCAAGATACCACTAGCTATATCCTGGTACTATGTGTTATGTTTTAACAGTTACTCTAAAGTTCAGTAGTTGTCTGGACAGGTGAAGGGTCTGTCAAGCCACGTCGACCAAACAATACATTTTCATTAGTGGTACTAACACTCAGTGGCCCTTCACCACCATCTTCATCATCAGCAAAATGTTCATATGCTGGATTTCTACCACTTGGAGTTGTAGCAGCAGCCATTGCAGCTATATGTTGCAGATGGCGTTGGCCAGGTGGGGTGTCCCAATCTAATGCCACTGTTTTATCATGCTGATGATGATGCATCATTCCTGAGATGCTCTGATCACCATCCATGATATCGTCTACTTCCCTACTGCTACCAGTGCTGCCATCATCACTCACTGTAAGTAATGACTGTATTGTAATGAACAAAATATTATATGAAGTCTTTGTATCTAACAAATATTAAGTTATTAAATAAGAGTAGGTATTTGCACAATTATAATTTATATTAAAAATAAACTTACACTGTTGTTTGGTGATATATGATACATTATCCATGGAAAAGTGATGAGATGGTCTTGAGTCCAAGGTTAGTTCCTGTACAGATTCATCATCCATAGGGACACTCATGTGCAGTACCTGTAAAAAATTTTGTATAAAAATATTGGAACTCTTGGAGAATAAAATTTTACACAAAATATGACTATGAACAGGTTTGCTGATATGAAGATACTAAGGAAGATAGGAAACTTAGATGATTGTCATGCCATTCAAGAAGACCTGGACAAATATGTGTATGAAGCAACACTTGGCAAATCAAATTTAATGTGAATAAATGCCACATAATGGAATGTGGCATAGGAGAAAATAGGCCACACAAAACCAACAAATTATGTGAAAAAGTTAAAAAAAATCCTTAAAGAAAAAGATCTAAGGATGGTACTTTATAAAAAAAAAACTGTCACCCGAGGACCACATAAAGAATATTATGCGAGGAGCCTTTACTACACTTTTCAATTTCAGAATTGCTTTTAAATACTGTACATGCATGGTGAAATACTGGCACTAAAGAAATTGTTCACGATCTTTGCGAGACCAAAGCTGGAATATGCAGTGGTTGTATGGTGCTCATATCTAAAGAAGCACATCAACAACCTGGAGAATGTGCAAAGATATCCAGCTAAATGACTTTTGGAACTGAAAGGCAAGAGCTATAAGGATAGGTTAGAGGCATTAAATATGCCAAACCTGAAAGAAGAAAAAGAGGAGATATGATCACTATGTACAAAATAGAAACGGGAATCAACAAAATTTATAAAGGAGGATACCTGAGGCCTGGAACGTCAAGAACAAGAGGTTATTGATTTAAGCTAACTAAACCAGAAAATTCTAGAAAAAACACTAGAAAATTCACTTTTACAAACAGTGGTAGATGGTTGGAACAAGCGAGAAGGCGGAGGCCAAAACTGTCAGTATTTTCAAAGAATTATATATGACTGTTGGGAAGACAGGACACCACAGGACTCTTTCTGTAACTACACTTAAGGAAATTCAACTCGTCCTCGACTCAAGTCCATTACATCCAGCGGTTGACCCCACAGATGCATTCATCAATTTTAACATGTTGTTCATTCAAAACAGGAATTTTCTCAAATATAAATTAATGTTATAATATATTAGCATATTGTGCATATATAGGCATAGTTTAGGTTAGGTTAGGTGTTTAGAGTCTGTTGGCAATTATTTGTAATACGTAGGTGAAGCATTTATAGCGTTGTGGTTCGAACAAAATTCATCAGTGAAGCACTTGTTCCGGATATGTTCGAATGTCATCGGTTATGAGTCGTGTGTAAACCGTTTTTCATTCATAAACGGGAGGTTTGGCGGGGTCCATGGAATCACCTTTGGGTCTTTGTTTGGAGGATGGGCGGGTAATTACCTGCTTTGTTTCTAAGCCCTTGCCTTTGGTTTTCTGTTTCCTCCCAGGATGATTTTTGTGATCCCAGACTCTTCCTAGCTAGCAATGACTTTCTTGCTAGGGATTTTTGGCATGCCTTCTGCTGTTCAGGAATGCTTGTGCACCTCTTTTTCCCAAACCTGTTCTTTCTTGTTAGTGTGGCAGCTCCTGGTTGTCTGACTTGGCTTTGGTTCCTCGCATTGCAATGAGGCTGGTCAGTTTACTGTTAACTTGCTGTTATGGAGTTTGTCAGGCCCTTGTGGGTTTTTCTGGTTGTCTGCGAGGTGGGCTTGCTGCGGTGTGGCATCAATGTTCTCCGGTGCATCCCGTGGCAGAGGTTGTGTCCTGGTTGTTCACTCCTCTTGTTTGTATTAGGGGTGAGCTTCCATTAGGCTCTCTGGGCTTTTGGCTAGCAATGGTCTCACGTTTTGTGTGTTTTACCTGTTCCTCCCGTGTGGTGCCTCTAGTGCAGATTTTGGAATTTGCTAACTCCTGGTCTAGATGGGTGATCAGTGATGAATTGGTGTCAGGTGGTGGCATTGCTCTCGTCATCTGTACTTACTTTGTCAGCACTCTACATATACTGACAATGAAACATTCCAGTGCATGTACATGGAGTGTACCTGAATGGGGTTCTGGGAGTTCTGCTTCCCAGCCAGGCTTGCAGCTTTCCACATTTCTGGCCTTGTGGGGTTCCTCATTACACTGTAGAGATGTACTCCAGTCAGAATTCTGTCTTTTTCTTCTTGCACCTGCCCTTCTTAAGCATTTTCTGCAGTGGCATTCAGGAATTGTCTTACGCACTGTTTTCTTGGTAGCCATTCAAATAGTTATGCAGCAGTCTGCTTTTACCACTTTGACTTTGTAGTAGTTGTGTGTACCCTTAATTTTCTTTGAAGATTTGTTCCTAAACATTTTTCCCCTTCATGCTCACCCTGTTCTGGTCACCTCAGCTGGGGGTTTGTTTCTAGTATCCCTTTGGTGCTCTAGGTCTGAGTGTCTTTGTCAAGTGATGTGCATGTTGGTGGCAGTTCTGGGGTACTATGATGTGCCCTTGTTCTTTTTGAGCTTTGTATTTTTTCTTTAGTGAGGACACTATTTCTGTTGTTTGTGGCCCCTGTTCCCCAGAGTTGACTGGGTTAATGTACTTTACCTCCAGGCTGGAGTTTGAATCTGGGTTGTAAATATTGTCAATCCAGTTGCTCGTTTATTGTACATTTCTCGTGGTTCTTCCCCTCTGTGATGTGGTTGATGTAACCCCTGCAATAATTATTGTGGGGGCCAGATTTTGGTCCTGGTCTCAGGTAGGTACTGTACTGGTGTGATCTGATATAGCCTGGTGTGGTACCTGTGTTGGGAGGTCTCAAGATGGGTAACTTAAGAGATACAGAGTGGACTCACTAGAAGTGAGTCCAGTTCAGTGCTACGATTTTCAGAGCATCTTAAGGCTTATGCTTCATTATGAACGAGTGTACACAAATTGCAATTGCAGAACAAATGAATATTCATTAGTGAAGGCCAAGAGAACATACTAAAATATGGCTTACCATTATCAATGGCATTAAGCTTATTAAGGTGCCCCTTGCCAATGGTGAAGCAATCTTCACCATTGCGAGGGAGCCGGTCGGCCGAGCGGACAGCACGCTGGATTTGTGATCCTGTGGTCCTGGGTTCGATTCCAGGCGCCGGCGAGAAACAATGGGCAGAGTTTCTTTCACCCTATGCCCCTGTTACCAGCAGTAAAATAGGTACCTGGGTGTTAGTCAGCTGTCCCGGGCTGCTTCCTGGGGTGGAGGCCTGGTCGAGGACCGGGACGCGGGGACACTAAAAAGCCCCGAAATCATCTCAAGATAACCTCAAGATAATCTGTACAGTAACCCATCTAGCTACTGGGAAGACCCAGCATTGTCTGATTTTCACACAGAGTAAGCTAATGCACTGCACACATGTTTGATGTTAGATTAGTTCCTTCATATCATTAATATACTAATGGGACAGAAATTGTTAGTGTCATATAAACATAGAATATTGAAATGACAAAAATCTATAGTAATTCTTACCTGAACTTCATACTCTTTGGTAACAGGTTCAATGACGGAGCCGACCCTCTCATAGGGTGGTGCAACAACTACCACAGCTTTATCCGCTTCATTGCGATGTCTAACATATCTGAAAAATAAATCAAACTAAATACAATGCTTTACAAAATTATAATATATCTTGTAATCTGATCCAAGAAATATACAAAAAAGGAAATGAAAGTAAACTAAATTTAAGCTATAAATTAATTAAATAATATTTTTTTTTGGAGGCCCACCCCTTCCCTTTGTCTCTCTCAGGGAATGACTCCAAAACAAGGTGATTAACTCTTTGGTCCCTTCTTACTGCTAGGTGAACAGAGGCATTAAATGATAGGAAATGCACCCAACCATTTCTGTCCTACCTGGGATTCAAACCCAGAATTCTCAATTGAGAGTTGAGAATGAACCCCAATTAACATTAATAGGGAGCCGGTCGGCCGAGCGGACACCATGCTGGACTTGTGATCCTGTGGTCCTGGGTTCGATCCCAGGCGCCGGTGAGAAACAATGGGCAGAGTTTCTTTCACCCTATGCCCCTGTTACCTAACAGTAAAATAGGTACCTGGGTGTTAGTCAGTTGTCACGGGCTGCTTCCTGGGGCTGGAGGCCTGGTCAAGGACCAGGCCGCGGGGACACTAAAAAGCCTCGAAATCATCTCAAGATAACCTCAAGATAACATACATATTCACAAAAATCCAGCGTTGAATGTAATTTAACACCATTTTCTGGGTGAGACATGGAGTGTCCCCGGAGCTATACTGGGCAATGTGTATACTGTATATTAGACCGTGGCAACAGTCAATCCATTGAGTTCTTAGCCTACCGGGCACCACGAGCAAGAACCTGGCCCCCCTCAGAGAGTAAAGAGGAGCAATGGCCTATAGACACCTCCGTGTAATTGGAAGCAGTCTATGTCTGCCATCTACCAAGTCAGGCACCCAGAAAGGTAGGAATCTCAAAACAAACTACAGCTGGTGAAACTGCAAACCAAAAGCCAAATGAGTAGGATCAGAAAACAAGCAAATAAGCAAGACGTCACCACAGCCGCCGCGCCGCTGTCTGTGCAACTCCCCCCTCCTTGTGAGAGGGAAGGGGGAGCCCCAGACCTTGCACCGGCTATCTAACCTCAGTTCAGAGGCTGAATATCAAAAACGCGAAGCCACCGACCGGAGGGATGCCGGGAGCCTCCAGGCCTTGCTAAGAAAGTGGCATTTTATTACATTCAATGCTGGTTTTCTGTGGAGAGCTGCTCTGGCTCCCTGGAGCTACTTAACCATAGAGAAAAGAAAAGAGGGAATTACCTGGGAGGCTGTCGCCACTCGCTCCTCAACTCAAAGTCGAGACAACTGCCTGCAACCCAAGGCTACACACACACCAGATAAGGGCCAGGAACATTAATGAGGTACCATGCAGCCAGGACCCTGTTCGATCTCCAAAAGCCCCATGCCCGAATGTCAGCCAAAGACATATTACCAAAAACAGCAGCCAAAGTCACAAACTTACGAACCTCGTGGGCATGGGGATAGACCGCAGGCTGGCTGGACCGAAATAATCCTGCGGACGACCTGGGAGACCAGCGCCCTGGAACAGGGAAGAAGGGAAACCGGGTCCCCCCCAAAGTGCATCCCCTGCCACTAAGGCCGTGGCAGGGGATGCGCAGAAACCCCTGCGCCGGAGGAGAGCATGAAGCTCCCCAACCCGACCCCAGAGGCCAATGCCAACAAGAAAAGAGCCTTAGAAAAACAGTCCTGAACCGAAGGGTCCACCACAAACCAAGGAGAAGAGAGAAAAAGAGAGCACCCAGTCCAACAATCAGGACTGATCAGGCGGCGCATGAGCAGGCCGGAGGTGAAACAACGCCCAAGAAAGCTTGCGGAACAGAGCAGAAGTGACATCCACCCCGAACGCAAGCTGAAGCGGCTCCGCCAGCACCGCACTATACGAGGTGACAGTATTTGGTATAAGATGACGGTCCTAAAACAACCATGAAAGAACAAAACAACCCGATCAGAAATCGAAGAGTCAAGGAGTGCCGAAAGGACCACCAAGAAACTTCATACTGCTGCCGAGACGAAACTTGCAGGTGGGACACCATCAACAAAGCCACCTGATCATCATATAAGTGGTGATAAACCCACATCAAAAAGACCAGACGCAAAGATTGGAGAAGATCAAACCAGCCACATACCAGGCCGGACTGATCTGCTGAAAGAGGTGGACACCGAGCAAGCAGAACCAGAACCCAAAGATGGGCCACCCACCAAGGGGCCAACAGGACTACTCTTCCCTGGTAAGTCTCCAAGTGAGCTAGGACCTAGATCAACAACCGAACCAGGGGGAAGAGGTACAGGTAACTCCCACCTCGACCAGTCCAGTCGAAAGACATCAACCTTGACGGCCTCGCAGTCGGGGAAGGGCGCCGCATATACTGGAAGACACCTTGACCTCGCCAACGCAAAGAGGTCCATGTCCGGACGCCTGAACGTCTAGCAGAGCCAACGGAAGAAGTCGGCATCGACCATCCATTCCGTGGATAGGGGAATGAAACAAGACAGGCTGTTCGCCAATACGTTGGAAACTCCCTGGACATGAACTGCCAGGAGAGCCAAATTCTGAGGCCTCAGCAGACGAGTCACCCAAACTGACCAGCCCCAAAGAGCCAAGGACTGCATCGAACCCCCAGTGGTTCAGCCAATGAATCACAGGGAAGCAGTCCGAATGGAGCCGGATCGTCGATCTGCGAGTGACACGAACTCTCGGAAGCGATTGCCACACCGCTGCGAACTCCCGTGCTGTGCTGTGAGCCTGACAGAAGAACGGACCCCACCCTGGCTTGACTGGTGAGCACTGGTCACAAAGCTCCAGCCGAAAGATGAGGCATCTGTAAACACATCTGGTGAGAGCTTGGGTAAGCACCACGGCACTGAACCCCGAAAACCCCCAAGAGGAAGCTGGCAATGAAGCAGCCGACACAAGGCTGCCGGGGTCCGAACCCAGCGATCGCAAGAGCAGCAGAAAGGACATCCCCGAAGGAACCAGAACAGCTGCCGAAGTCAGATCCGACCTGATGGGCAGACCAGCACGGCAAAGTTCAGACCCCTGCACAGCTGTTCGAGTAACTGACGAGTGACCTCTAAAAAAAACAGCTGAAGGCAGTACTGCTGCTGCAGCAACGCCGCTGGAGGGAGAGAGAAGGAAGTGGTCTGAGAATTCCACACAAGACCGAACCTAAGAGGGAATCAAATGGGACTTCTGCCAGTTTACCAGAACCTGAACCCGGCGAGCTGGGAAAGAACCAAATCCCTCACGAGCAGACATGTGGACCGGCAGGAAGCCCAGACCAGCCAGTTGTCGAGGTAAGCCAGAACCCCTAACAGGCGCAAACCAGTCACCACAACCAAGGTATGTGAAAATGTGACATGCCAGATTCAAGCAGAATGAAAGGCAACGAAAGCAGTCACCTCACAACAAAACCGAGCCAGTCCCTGAACCCCGGATGAATCAGGACGTGCCAATACGTGTCCCGGAGGTCCAGGGAGACCATCCAAGCACCCGGTTCCAAAAGCAGCCAGATCTGGGACAGTCGTCATCCAAAAGGAGGGGCAAAAGACCCAGGGGTTCAGACGGGACAAGTCCAGGATGAACCTCAGGTCTGCACAGTCCCATTTCGGAACTGGGAATAGGTGGGAAACCCACCTGAGGGACGCCGTCGTTTCGACCACGCCCAAGCGAACCCACTCCAGGATGACGTGACAGACTGCAGGCGAAGGGGTCTACCCCATCAGCCCCAAATTCCCTGGAGGAGGAGCCACCCAACGCCATCGCAGGCTAGAGAAAATGACCCGAAAAGCCCACGAATCATGGGACCAAGCGAAAGCAAACAGTGCGAGCCTTTCCCTTATTGCCCTGTTAACCGGGTGAACTGCAAAAGGACAAACGCCCCTTACAAGAGCCCAACTGATGTTCAGAGCGAGCACTGCGCTGACCAGACGCTGACGACTCCACAGGAGGGGACGGTCCCGAATCGGGTACCACTGGCTTATAACGACTGAAAGAACCCTGAGCCCTGGCACAACCCTTCCAGGAAGGACCACTATCTCCCCCCTCCCCCCAAGAACCAACAAGTCCGACATAGACCAATAACTAGACAAAGCCGCCTGCAGAAAATGCACGACTGCAGACAGCACCGTACAAAAAGGGGATGAAAATCTATCATCCGGGGTCTAAGTGGATTCCAAAAAGTGAACGAGCACTGCCTGTCGGTACACGAGGCACAAAGCAAAGAACAGAGACACCGCTTCCTTCAGAATCGGCGCAAACAACTTCAACAAGGCAGCCGACGCCCGAGCCGCCGAGCCAAGTACACCGGACACAGGCCAGGAACCTAGCTCCTCCACATCCTCCTTGATCCAGTCCGAAGATAGCTCCGGGAGGAAAAAGACGTGCAAGACCAAACCCAAACGCCAATGGGTGCGCAAATCCTCAGCTACAAGGATGCCAAAAGGGAGGGAACCTGCACGTGAAGCTGCACCTGGCCAATATTGCGAGGAAGGACAGGGGCGAACAAACATGCATTAAGGTGCTTCAACTCGCCTGAGGTAAATCTGAACGACTGCAGTCGATTACCGTCACTCAAGCAAGTGGGTCTGACAGAACGCATGCCCCAACCCCATCGAAAAGAAAGGGCAGTCCACCAGCCAGAAAGAACCACAGCAGGGAAAGGACAAGGGGGCATGGACGAAACCAAAGGAAGCAACTAACACGCCCAAGTCTGGGTCCCTATAATCAAAGCAAGGCAGCCGCGGGGCATCCAGAAAAGCAATTAACCTAGAGCGTTGCAGCAACCTAAACCGTGCAATGCAATGCAGATACTGCCTGCACCCAATCAATAGTATTATTGGACTAAGTGAACTGGAGAGCCAGCAAGGAACACCACTCACAGGACTCCAGGTCAAAGGTGTCATTGACCCAGCAGGCAGCATGGTGGAGGCAAAGACTGTGATTGTCACCCTGAGACAAGGGGACAGAGCAACCCTCAAACTCACACAAAGCGAGGTGGGACTCGGAGGACTCCTCTATCAGTCTGAGGAGCCCCAATGGGGGTTTTCAGGGCCCTTAGGCTGACTGCTAAAGGAAACCCAATCTAGGTACTGCTAACCAGTTGTCCCAGAACTACCAAATAATCAAACTAAAAGCTGAACCCCCTGTGACGTGTACAATCACGGGGGAGCCTAGAGGAGGGGCCACCAAAATACAGGTGGACCTATAACCATGCAAGGCAGAACCCCACCAGGCAAAGAAAAAAAAGAAAAGAAAAACCCTGCACTAGCACAACGTCTCCAGGGGAAACAGAACCGGCCGCTATGCGTGTATCAGACAGCTGCATAGTACCTTGCGCCCCAGCCAGGAATGATACTATTTCCTACCCAAGATCATACAGGAATAAGAACAGCCCCAGCTTACCCAAAGGATGGGCAATCACCGAGCAGCAAATGAACCACGCGGAGGTAGTTTCCCGAATGGCTTATGGAAGATAACCTTAAACCACAAGGGGGCATTACTTACAGGGCACCTAGGAAAGGTGGTCCTAGGCGCATGCATCCCCAGTACTCCTGGCTTGCACACCACCACTATGGACAACACTGCTCAAAAGGATAGAGCCAGAGTCGATCGACGACTGCCACCAAACACAACAGCCTCTGAACTGAGGTTGGCTAGCTGGTGCAAAGGTGTTTGGGAGTCGCGCAGACAACGACACAGTGGCTGTGGTGACGTCATGCTTGTTTGCTTGTTTTGTGATTAGGTTGTTCTGCCTGCTCGTTCTGCTTTCAGTTTGCAATTTCACCAGCTGTAGATTGTTATGAGATTCCTACCTTTCTGGGTGCCTGACCTGGTAGATGGCAGACAGACTGCTTCCAATTACATGGGGGTATCTATAGGCCATTACTCCTCGTATCTCTCAGAGGGGGCCAGGTTCTGGTTCATGGTCCTCCTTAGGCTAAGAACTTCATCGATTGACTGTTGCCATGGTCTAATATATACACATCAGCCCGTTATAGCTCCTGGGAGCCGAAGGGGTTCTCCACAGAAAACTGCTATATACTGTACAGTACTGTAATTTAATTTTGATATAGAATTGTATCCATTGATGTTCTATCATATGTAACAGTTCAATATAGTACAGTAGTATCTCCATTTTGACCAAGTTTAAATTTTGTTGTAATATTTGTTATTTACCTGGAAATGTTGAGAAAGATGGGCTATGATGAATTTCCAGTTGATTAAATGTGCTTCAGGATTATTATGAATGTAGTTCACAAACCCATGTATGTAGTACGGTAATTGTAGGCCCTCTTAAAACAATATTTTTATTTTAACCAGGAGGGGAGGGGGGGTAAGGTTGCCAAATGTTTGAATAAAATGCCCCACTAAATGAATCAGTTTTGCCCCATATACTGTAGTTTGTTCAAGTGAGTTCACGCTGTATTCAGAATGATTCTTGTAGATATAACTAGCTACAGTTTTTGTGCACTAGAATGAACCACAAAGATCGTGTGTTAAGAGTTTATATATATGATACAAGAATCCAAGGTTAGCCTAGCGGCCGACAGCTAGTGTGGCAGGGGCTGCCATAAATACATTTTTACATAATTATTTCTGTGTCTGTGAATGGTTTTATATCTAGTTTTTTGCAGTAATATTATTCAATAGTGTGTAATATGGGGAATTTATATAGTTAAATGTGTGGAACATCGCTATTCTAAAAAATATGGGGTTTGTATACAGTATAGACACGAATATTATGTTTTTAGATCAACCAAACAGTGTTCTTGCTGCTATTATGTAATATATGCACATTATATATCACTATCAACATTTATATGCACCATAACAAACTAATAAGCAGTTCTGGTGGGTATGGGGATGAAATCAAAATACAGCATGGAGCCACATGATATTAGCAGATGATGCCAGCAGTCATGATGCAAGACAATGCCTCCAATATTCTACACATTTCCCTATGACAAGCTACAAAACTGATATTACCACATTTCTATCACAAAAATCCTGAATATAAATCCAGTTCCACAAGGTTATGTTGTGAATAACATGAGGTTGTTTCATAATGTGTAAATGCAGAAAACAATGGGTGCTTGCTGTCTCTATACCTCATGCTGTGAATATCATAATTAACATTGTGTTCACTGATATCTGAACATTGTACATAGTCTTTATCATAGTCAGGATCATCTATGACACTATCAATGCAAAATAATTAGTTACCTATTTTATTCATCATTAGTAAGTGGTGGTGTGGCCCCTAGCTACACAGTGGTGGTGTGGCCCCTAGCTACACAGTGGTGGTGTGGCCCCTAGCTACACAGTGGTGGTGTGGCCCCTAGCTACACAGTGGTGGTGTGGCCCCTAGCTACACAGTGGTGGTGTGGCCCCTAGCTACACAGTGGTGGTGTGGCCCCTAGCTACACAGTGGTGGTGTGGCCCCTAGCTACACAGTGGTGGTGTGGCCCCTAGCTACACAGTGGTGGTGTGGCCCCTAGCTACACAGTGGTGGTGTGGCCCCTAGCTACACAGTGGTGGTGTGGCCCCTAGCTACACAGTGGTGGTGTGGCCCCTAGCTACACAGTGGTGGTGTGGCCCCTAGCTACACAGTGGTGGTGTGGCCCCTAGCTACACAGTGGTGGTGTGGCCCCTAGCTACACAGTGGTGGTGTGGCCCCTAGCTACACAGTGGTGGTGTGGCCCCTAGCTACACAGTGGTGGTGTGGCCCCTAGCTACACAGTGGTGGTGTGGCCCCTAGCTACACAGTGGTGGTGTGGCCCCTAGCTACACAGTGGTGGTGTGGCCCCTAGCTACACAGTGGTGCTGTGAACTGCTCCTGCATGTGCCAGCCTTTGTCACTTTCTCAGTACTAGGCTCTCACATCTAGCACAGATGCAGAATTTTTTTTTTTCAAGATAGCGTATGTTTACTGGAGTCCCGAGGCACAGGATGTGAGTTCCATGTAGCTGGGGAGTTTTGGATCATCCCTTTACCTAAAAATGCCATATGGCGCTCTGCACACCCCCGATCGGGCGCCTTAAGGTACTCTGCACAGTGCAGTGGTTAATCTAGGGAACAACACAATATGCAAGGTTACTTGTTTTCATTCGGGCTCAATCATAATGGTCCTGGTGTACTAACAATTGTCCACTAACAATGACCTTAGTGGGTCCACTGCTGAGGCTGCTACCAAATGGGCCATGCTCAGAAATCTAACACACATATATAGTACTGTTTATTGATGGCAACTTTATAAACCATAAAATAGGTGTTTTAAAAGTAAATGGAACAAAATGTAATACCTTTTCCACTGCACACAGATGTAGCAAATACCAGTGACTCCCATGATAACGATGATGCCAGCCAGCACAATAAGAGCCAATTGGAAGCCTTCAAATGTTACTGCTTTACGCACTGGAGGAATCGGTGCCTCTGAAACCTGGAAAAAAAAATTGACCGAGTCAATATTGTCAACCAAACAGAGTAATAATAATAATAATTTTTATTTGCAAGAAGGTACAATGGGTTGTGAGGTTACATAAGACTGGTATTTTTACATTCATGCAAAGCCATTAACACCCAGTGTTTCAGCCAAACTGTGGGGAGAATTGTACAGTAAGGGAGATGAGACTTCTAGGAGGCATTTTAATAGCATGCTATTCTTTCCTTAATATTTGCTTTGGGTAGTGTATATACATCATCAGTCATACACTCGTACTCGATGTGTAAACTTAAATTTTTGGAGGAGAATCTTGTGGCTCCCTGAAGCTACTGGGTTAGCTGATGCAACTTTGTACTATCTAGTAAGTTGCACAAGCTGTGAAGTTCCATAGACCTACCGTGGAGCAGTGCCAGAACCTGGCCCTGCCTCATAGAGGTGCAGGGAATGGCGATATTTTATTTTGGCTACCTCACTGGGGAAGGCAACCAGAAAGTCAGGGAGTCAAAACAAACCACTGCTGGATTCAAGAGACCAAAGCCTTGAAACCCTCTTAAAGAATTCTCCCCAATTATGTAAACAAATGATCAAATTCTCTCAGAACTAAAGCAAGCTCGTTCACCCCACCTCCACCACCACTACTTATTTTGGGGGGGAAGGGGATGGCAGGGGGGGGATGTAGCTCATTGTCCACCAGGGTCTGAGTTCCCAGTTCTATAGTCGAGGTAGTGCATACTGATCGTTGTCTCTTCTGTGCTGGCTCTGGTGTTCTGTCTGTTCAGCTATATGGTGAGGTGTTTGCACTTGTGGCATTTCCTGTACACTGTGGTGTAGCATGAGCCAAGTTTTGAGTGTACTTGGAGATGCATGAGTGCAGGGGGTACTTTCCCCTGTGTGTTCCCTGTGCTGTCCTTCCACTGCCAGAGTTATCTTTTCTAGAGTGTTTGGAAATCATCCCTTAAGTCCTAGCTTGTGTGTCAAGTGACTTGGGACTTTCTTGTTTTAAATTTTGGTCTGATATGACTTTGGCTGGAATGATGCACTTGTGGTTCATGTGCTTCTCTCAACACTGTAGTTGGCCTTCAGAGCCGTGTAAGCCAGGCTTTGTTGATTTAATCTACGGTCTGGCATAACATTCCCACCACCTGGGTGTCGTGCTTGATTTTCCATTCACGCCCTAAAAATCACCTGTGGGTTTGGTGGCACCATGGATATTCCCTATGAGCCTGCTCTTGCTTTGTGCAAATTTGACTGTTGTTCGTCTTTTGTGCCACAGAATGACTATCGTTCCTTTTGCCTCTGCCATGCTGCCTGTTGGGTCAGTAACACCTTCGACCCTGCATCCTGTACACACCTAGTTGAACTTGCGGGGGTTGAGCTTCAGCTCTGTGGTCCTGCCTCTCAACTGTCAATCAACTGTTGTACAGATTCCTGAGCCTATTGGGCTCTTATCATATCTACATTTGAAACTGCGTATGGAGTCTGCTTCCATCACATCACTGTCTAATCCATTCTATTTGTTAACTACTGTATTTTGACATTGAAAAAATCTTTTTAATGTCTGTGGCTCATTTGGGTACTAAGTTTCCACCTATGTCTCCTTGTTCCACCCATGCTAAATATCTTGTTTTAGTTGATCCTGTTAATTCCTCGGAGAATTTTGTAGGTGGTGATCATGTCTCCTCTGGAATGTGAGGTTTAGTACCAATAGCCTTTCCTTGTAACTTATACCTCTAAGTTCTGGGACTAGTCTGGTGGCATACCTCTGAATCTTCTCTAACTTTGTCTTGTGTTTAACTAGGTATGGACTCTAGGCTAAAGCTGCATACTCTATGACTGGTCAGACATAAGTGGTATATAAGGGTTCTGAATGATTCCTTACACAGGTTTCTAAAGGCAATTCTTATGTTGGCCAATCTAGCATATGCTACTGCTGATTTCCTTTTGATATGGGATTCTGGGGACAGGTTCGGTGTGATATCAACCCCCAGATCTTTCTCTGTATTTGATTCGTCAAGAGGCAGGATTTCATCTCCCAGATGGTACCGTGTGTTCAGCCTTCTGCTTCCTTCACCCAATTTCATTACTTTACACTTACCCGTGTTAAACTTTGATAGCAAATGTCTAGACCATTCTTCCAGTTTGTCCATGGCATCCTGTAGTCTCTGTATCTTCATTTGTCTTGATTCTTCTCATAATATTTGCATCATCAGCAAACATTGAGAGGAACGAGTCAATACCATCTGGTAGATCGTATACATATATTTCGGAAACAGGATAGGGCCAAGTACAAAGCCATGTGGGACCATGCTGGTGACATCGCATCACTAAGGTCTCCCCCTCACAGCTATTTGCTATTTTCTGTTGCTTAGAAATTTGCTATTTTCTATTTTCTGTTTCTGTTGCTGTTGCCCTTATCCACTGGAGCACCTTACCTTTTATTCTTGCCTATTTCACCAACTTTTGTAACATCCTCTTATGGGTTACTGTGTCAAAAGCTTTCTGACAGACTAAGAAAATCCAGTCTCCCCACCCATCTCTTTCTTGTCTAATTTTTGTCTCCTGGTCATAAAATTCTATTAAACCTGTGAAGCACGATTTACCATCCTTGAGCCCATGCTGGTGGTGTTACAAAGCTCCTTTTCTCCAGATGTTCTACAAGCTTTAGCCTCATGACCTTCTCCATCACCTTGCACGTTATACAAGTTAAAGAAACTGGCCTGTAGTTCAATGCCTCTTGCCTGTCTCCTCTTTTTGTATATTGGGACTACATTAGCCGTCTTCCAGCTTTCCGGTAGGTCTCCTCTTTCCATTGACCTGTTACACACCATAGAGAGTGGCACACTTAGTGCTTCTGCACCTTCTTTTAGTATCTATGGTGAGATACTGTCAGGCCCAACAGCCTTTGTCACATTCAGCTCCAACAGATTTCTTTTGACCTTATCACTGCTAAACTCAAATTCCTCCAAGGTTGCTTTGTTTACTGCCTTCTCTCTCAATACAGGGACTTCTCCTTGCTCTATTGTGAAGACCTGGAATCTCTTGAGTTTTTTCACACTACTCCTAGTCATTCTTTGTGTATCTGTTCTCCCCTTTTCTCAGTTTCTTCATATGTTCCTTCACTGCTGTATTCCACCTGATGTAGCTGTGGGGCAGTTCTGGTTTGGTCTTTGCTTTACTTTGCAATGTAATTTTCATATTGTGTGTCTGCTTCTCTACTCAGAATAATGTATTTATTCCTGGCCCTCTGCTCTCTGTAGTTCTGTTATTTCTATAGTTTCTCTACGTTCGTGTATACTTGACTGCTTTGCTTCATTCCATGCCTGATTGAACCATGGATTCTTCTGTTGCTTTTCATTTTTCTTCTTTTGAGCTGGGATAAACCTGTTTGTAGCTAGCTGGTACATCTGGGTGATGTAGTCCATCATATCTTGTACAGTCTTTTTCCTCTTTCCTGTGGGGTTTGCTCTCCCTATGCAACTCTTCTTTAACCCTTCTGATGAGGTTAGGGCTTAACAGGCAGTGGCCACTTTGCATATTCCTTGTGCTAGGTTGCAGCGGTCTAGATTGTGTGCCCCAGTTGGTGAACTCCACCCTGGTTTCATTTGCATCTCCTCTTCCTTTCCCTATTGGAGTGGTTTGCCCTTCCTCTGTTCTCTCTCTCTCTCTCTTCCCCTCCCCCCTTCCCCTCCAAACATCAGGTCAGGGCAGGAGTTAGCTTGGGATGTGGCTCATCCAGCTCTGGAGGTTGCTTGCAAATTGGGTGTGGAGGCATTTGAGCCGGCTGGTTTTGCCAAGGCTTCTGGATCCGTTTTATTCCTTTTAGCTAGCTAGCTTTTCCTTTAAAACCTCTCCCTTGGACTCTGCTTTTCTATCCCATGTGGTAGGTGTGGATGTTGGCTCCACCCTGGGGCCCCTAGAGTGCAGCTTCCGGAGCTTAGAAGTCAGATATGAGCCCTTGGATCCTGTTTGACTATGTTCCATCAGAGGAGGGCCTCCTTTTACATGGGGAAGGATTTTTTTATCCCTCTCCCTTTATAAGAATGATTTGGGTGCAACTTCCCCCCAGAGTTCAATTCCATGTGCCTATGGGACTGTCGGAGTCGTCCTTTCGGAGGTTTCCTACTGTTCGGGTTCCTCCTGCAGAGGTTCAGGAAGCACTGTTCACATCCCTCCTGCAAGATCCAGGTTATACCTCATTAATGGAAACTTTCTCTTTTGAGTTTGGTTTTTGAATGAGTCATGAGGCTCTGGAGCATTCCTGGCTGGCAAACGATCCTTTATTCTCACTTGGTGCAGCTTTTGTTGTACCTGTACACTGAAATGGCATGAAGTGTTGACCATGTTACAAGTGTTTGGGGGAAGGGTCCTTATTTTGCACCCCTCGGTGACTGCCCGTTTGCTCCCACTTTTCCTTAGCCACGGGTCTTGTGCAGCTTTATGCCAAGGTTCCCTTGTCAGCAGTGCTTGTGGTGGATGACCTTTGGTAGGTAGGGCTAGGGCACTGCCTGTTATGGGTTGGGGTAGGTCATTGGTGGAGCCAGATGCCAGGTCACAAGTGCTTCCCTCAGCTAGGTCTTCTCTCTGGTTAGTGCCCTGCTCTCTATGGTCAGAAGATCTCTGCCCAACCTGTTCTCCTAGTAAAGCATCACAGTTTGATGCATACTCTACCCAAAATCACTATACTAAAGAATGATTTCTATAGTTCACAAAAATCAGAGAAGCCTGCAAAATTTACATACTGTACTATCACATTTTCCGTTTTGGATCCTCTGGTAGATTAGGAGAGGGCACTTTAGTACAATAATTTCTTGACGTTGGGAAACTTAAGCAGCATAGGCTGCTCTATTGCTCATGATCTGCACCGGTCCTTTAGTGGTTCAGCCCTTTGACAGGTGTTATGATCTCAGCCTACAGGAGAAACGAGTCTCCCTCCTTGAGAGTTATTCATCAAGCCTGACCTGATTAGAAGGTCTAGCAAATATGGAGGTGATAACGCATATGTAAAATAGTTGCTTGGATATGTATAACAGTTTGAGATTATGGGCAATGAAGAAGAAAACAGATAAATGACTGGCGAGGAGATGTGGACATTTTGCTGGAGGCGTGAGGCTCGCTTCCGGAGGACCTTGACCTCACTTGAGTGCCAGACATCGCAGGGGAAAGCCGCGCTCCGTGAGCTCCCGCCAGAAGGGAACCCCTAGTGATATATCTCGAAGAGAAGAGAAGTGTGTAGACGTGCCAGCTGTGGAACCGAGCTGGGAACGTTGTGGTCTCAAGTCCTGGTCGACGAGCAGAGTTCAATAAGCTGCTCAGAGGCATTTTCGTGGGCTTTGTGGAGCGCCCTGACCAGACGCCGTCAGAGGGAAAGCGCCCTCGGCCAGTTAATCTGTGGTTTGTCTTTGGGGAAGAAGTTGCTGAGAACTTCGAAGCCAGCCTAGATGAAGTAATTGATGAGACTCCAAGGTAGTGAAGCAGAGGACCTCGAGCTGTGAGGAGAAGCAGTGAAGAGGAGTGTCACGTGCTTCTGTAGAGGTGGTGTAGCAGCCAAGAGAGCTGTGGAGGAACCTAGCAGAAGGGTGAAGCACCGTAGTTACTCAAGGAAACTTCATGATAGCAGCCTGGAGGAGCTGCAGAGGATCCTGGTAGTGAAGCCCGGAAGAACCTAAGGATATTAGGGTAGTGAACTTCCAGAGGGGGAAGGGAAGTTCTGGTGGATTACTTGTAGGGAGTTGATAGTGTTTGGTTGTCAGTAGCGTGCAAGACGCAGTGAGAGGTGAGTGATTGGTGGTATTCTTATGTCAAGGACTGTTTTATACTGAAGTTTAGAGTTACAGTCGTAGGCTGGATTATCTACAGACGTATGTGTTCTAGGACTGACAGAGTGATCGATTGATCATTGTCGTGTATCAATGAACATTTATACTGATATATGTTATTGCATTCAAGTGCTGATTTTCTATATATATATTATCTTGCTGATGGTGCAACAGTGTATGTAGACTTGATCAACTTGAGGAGGTTGATAGTATCAGGTGGTGAACCAGGAGATAGGATACCACTTGATAAGCTGATGGTAGAGTTCTGGTTGTGTTGGAGAGCAACCTGATTGTAAGAGTATAGAGTATAGGATTCATTATTATTATATGTGTGTATGTATTGTGTATGTGCTTTGTCCAGTAAATGTATTCCAATTTGCTGGTGTTTGCCCTTGTCCTAGTGAGGCTTCCCAGAAGGTAGTAAAGAAGGAGAGAGAGAGAGAAAGAACCAAGAACCACTGCCGTGGACAGGGTAAAAGGTAATACTAATAAGTCAAAAGGGGATTGAGGAGATCATATCACCTAAGGAGAGAGTGGGGAGTCACAGCGGCTCGAGTGGGTGTGTGCACGTGACAACGAGGCTGAGTGTTGGAGCCGCATCCCCTAAACATGTGACGTGGAGCCCCTCTCCATGAGCCAGAAGCGCCTAGTGTGATCTCCTAGTGAAGTGTAAGCACTCTACCGAGTTGTGGGTTGGGTTGTCCGTAAGAAGGATCAACGACGACAACACCAACCAACCCACAGTCTATAATACAGGGCACTGATGGGGGTGGGGGGCTCACCTGGTTTGCCAACTCTTGGGCCCAGGGTTCATTTTGAGTTGTTTTCCCCCCAACCTGCAGTGGCATTGGCTGATTCCTCCCATTCTGGGAGTTCAGGTCTTTCTGGGCAGGCTTCCTCACCTTGCCTGTATTGGTTCATCTCAGAGTGAGTGGCTTCAGGCATGTTTGAAATGACTACATCACTTTGGTGGGTTTCCTGCCTCACAGGACAGTGGGGTTCTTCGGTGGGTTCTGACACAGGACTTGCCAGACCTTCAGTTCATCTTCAACCCTTCATGACTGAACCTGTTCATCCCTTGTTCTCTCATTCTAGATGACCACTCTGTCTCGGATTAGTCTTGTACTGTACAATTGCATTAGTCTTGTTGCTTGGACGATTGGTTCGGTTTTGTCATGAGGCTGATCCTCGTTTGGGATCCTCGGTCAGCGTCACTTTCCCAGCCTTGACTCTGCTGCAGCACTGCCATCTGTTGGTGTTGAGTTGGCCCCGTGCAACTTGAAAGTTGTCCGGACAGTGAGCAGTTGTACAGGAGCCTGACTTTTGCCTGCTTTGTTTTTGCCCCCCTAGGCAGAGTTTTGCTTTGGCGACTGTTCTGGTATCTTCAGGAGCAGTCCTTCTTGCTGCTGCCGCAATTGTTGGGTGCGGGCCGCATTGGCCCTTTGCCAGCTGCTGCATCACTGGCTTCCTCTTTGGGCTTTTCAGGGTTTGGTTCCCCTGGTGCATTCCTCTGCTGTCACTTGCCAGCTTCATGGATGCCTGGGCCCCAAATTGCAGCCTTTTGACTAGCACTTCCTAGTTCAGCCAGGGTCATTGGTCTTCTCTCCTTCGTTGGGTGCATGGTACAGTTTGGAAGTTTGCAGCTGTGTGGTATGCACTGCAGAAGCTGTGTGTTCTGACTCCATTCAGACTGTTACCCTGTGAATCATTGCCTTAATTGCAGGGGTATGTTATGGTCCTTGGCACTTTGGATTGGGATGCTTCGATTAGCTCATCTGCTGGGTTCTTGGGGTTAAGCTCTCAATGCTATTCACGTCTACGATGTGTCCATTATCCATGCGGACAGTTTGTCCTGGTTCCTTCAGATTTCCATGGAGTGAACTATCAATGCCACCTACTTCCTGTGGCTTTACAAGACATTCGAGCACCTGGACGTGAACCTCTTTGCTTTGACGTGGAATCAGATCCTTCCTTTGTATGTGGCTTCATTCCCCATTTCTAAGACCCTCATGACAGATGCTTTTTACCTGAACTGGTTGAGTTGGTGGGTCCCTGTCTCTTGCCTGCAGTCTCATACCTCTTTCCCCAGATCCAGCTGTTTTGGGTTCTGGTCAGGTTGGCATCCTACCAGAGGTGAGTGGTCTTTTTGGCCACTTGGCCAGATCAACCCAGGTTTCAGGTGCATCTTGCTCAGTGGCTGAACTCTGGCATTTTTCTGCAGCTCCACCTCCACCAGACTCTCTTTGTATCTGGTATGTTTTATGCCTATATTGTCATCTTTATGGCAAGAAAGTGGCTTCTTTGATGGTGTCTCACCTGTGTTCTTTTTCTCGGAGACAGTACAAGATTTTGCTTTTTTTGCCATTTCGCTTTTCTTTGTTATTGCTCTGCATTTTCCGATTATGTGGTGCTTTCCTTCCTTTCCTGGCTTTTTCTTGATTGTTGACTTCTCATGCCAAATACAGTCTCCTCATATCGTGTGGTGCTAGTGGAGCCAGTGCTGCTTGCATTTGGGCTCAGCTCAGTTTTACAGGCAGTCTCATGACTTGTTTCACCTCTAGCCTGTGTAACACCATAAAGGTGTTTACTCCATTATTCATTTAATTTTTTCCTTTCATTTCCCCTCCCCCCCATTACACCTGCTCTTGGTCTCTGGACCGTGTTCTTGCTTTTCTTTTCATTTTCTGGTGGTGTACCACTCCAATCCAGGATTTTTTCTCTAAAGCAGTGTTTTTTGTTCTTTTGGCCCAGGTGGGCATTATGTTCACTTCCAGCCAGCTCTTTTTCTGGAGAAGAATGTGTTGGTTGACTTTTGGAAGGATCCTTTGGTTGATGCTTGATTGGTTTGGCTATAGGTGCATTTTGGGTTGTGTCTGGTGGTGGCTCTCCACTGTTACCTTCATGCCACCAATTTTGTTTCAGTGGATGCCTTGTGAGTCGATCCTGTTTCCTTGGTTCCCTGTTCCAAGGCTCGCTTTTCACAGGTTGTCAGCAGTGTTGTTACATCTAGCCAGTTTGCAGTCTACCTTCATGCCTATCATGTTTGGAAGTATGCCACTCCTTCAGCTGTGTTTGTGGATTTGTTCTGGGCCGAAAATTGGGCACGGGAGTTTTGGAGGTCAACCAGGGTTCTGGTGGCCCAGTATTTGGTGAATATTCTTGGGCTGCAGCGCCTTTGTGTGAGGATGTCTTTCGGCTCGAGAATCTCATCTTTTGTCTCGACTCCTGTGGTGCTTCTCCTCCCTGGTGAGCTACCTTGTGTTCTAACTTCACGAAGCCACAAGAGCTCCCTCCAAGAAAACCAGCATTGAATATAACAAAACACCAATTTTTAGGTGAGCCCCAGTGGTCCTGATCCCCTCCCTCCAATTCCAGATTATCAAATAGATGTCCACATCTGCTCTAGAACAGGGAGCTCAGACCCTGCAAAGTAGTGAGCTACCTTCCCTGAAATGATTGTGGGAGGTACGGTGACTGTACTCTCGCTAGTTTAGAGATGATCTGATCATTTGTTTACATTATTAGAAGAGTTCTTTAAATGGGTTTCAAGGCCTTGGCCTCGCTTGAATCTAGCATTAGTTTCTAGATTATTTTACAAGTCTAGATACAATTAGTTTGTGTTGGCTCACTGATTTTCTGGTTGCCTTCCCTAGTAAGGTGGCCAGGTTCTGGCTGGTTCCCATTAGGTCTATAGAACTCCATGGGTAATGTGACCTAGTAGATGGTGCCATCTCAGCATGTAGCTTCAGGAAGTCACCAGAACGTGCCCAGATATTACCACTTCATTACATTATATATATATTTTTTTTAAATAATTCAGTAAGAACATGTAAACATATAGACAAGTGTGTACTCGCGCACAATGCAGAAGGTACCAACCGGCTGTAGCATTAAGATTGGAGATCGTATATCTGTTGCTGGAACCCCTTCCAGTGCTGCTGTAACATAGAAGAGCAGTGTCTTCCTGTCTGGCTCACCTGTTGCAAATCTGGTAAAAATTTAAACAAATTTCAGAAACACTTAAACACTACCAAATATTGATTTGAATAATTAAATTATAACATACTGATATTAAACTTGACTCCATCACATCCTAGAACTCTTCTGTTTCTTGCAAATTGCCCCGTTGTCTGGTGATTACAGTACACATGTGCTACGATGTGCCATCCAGCAACTATAAATAGTATTGAGTGCCTTTAGAAATCTATATCATAACACTGGGTATTTTCAGAAAATGGGAATATATATATACAATTAAAGTATTTTACTTTTAAGAATTTATTCTTTAACTTCTTATGATATAACATCCTTGTTAACACCAACATAAGTTACTTACTTTTTTACCACTGGGTGCTGACGCTCCAGAACTTTGCCCGAGTTGGCATCAACAATATGAAACCAGACATCTGTGGCATTAGTGTCGGTCTGTACACTTGTGTTTCCTACAAATCGCCGAGATTCTATTTTTTCAATACCAATGATTTGCTCTGGAAAGGTAGAAAAAGTTAAAGTAAAGACAAATTTGAGTACATGAAATACTGCACATCTTTCTGACCAGTCTCTCAATTGCTTCCGTAGCCAGGACCTGTGTCTGTCTAAACCCTTCCAGTTCTGCCAGACATTTGTCAACCTGTACCACTAGGGTGATAAATATCTTTGAAAATGGTCTTGCCACCTCCAAAAGAAAGGAAGGGAAAAGTGGGGAAAATAAAGTTCAAATCACCACCACAGGGCACCCATTATAACCCCAAAGAGCACCAAGAAAAATTCACTGCTCCCTCCAAGAAAAAACTGACAAATACAACAAATGCCAATTAAAATTTCCCCATGCTTACTCTTTAATATGACACTTAATATGGCATTTTTTATTTAACACTTCTGTCCGGCGGCATCACAGTCTGTGTCAATAAATAAATTGATGGATGTCCGCTAGTAACGTATGTTGCGTCAAAATTTCAAATATTTGTTAAAATTATATTTTTATCCAATCATTATGGGATTAGTTTTAAAATGCGTGTCTTTAGATTGCGAACAATTTGATACCAAAATGAATGACATAGCACAACAAGTGAGGTCAGAATACTGGAAAGAGTACATATGTTAGTATGGGTGGGTGCGCGCTCCCAAGAAATGCCAGGCCCACCTTGGGGTGGGTTGTGGCGCATACTGGGTGCACGAGTGTTGATATGACATCATGAAGGAAATCAAGGTAAGAATGTTAGATGGGTGTAATCCAAGTATATAGACCCAATATGATTAATAGGAATATGTCAAATTTAATGTGTGCAGATCAAAGTTATCAATGTTTATTCAAATGTTACATAAATGTTGTGTGCCCAGATTTACCCAAAGAGGCAAGATCATTATCTCTGCTCCAAGACTGTTCTACTTATGACTAAACTAATATAGTATAGCTAATATTTTAGATTTTCATCAGCTTGTTCACAAAGCACTAAAGAAATGAATTGCAGAAAAAATTTAAAGTGCATAAAACAGCACTCAACTGAGATGACACACAAAAGATATTACTGTACCTTCAACAGTTACTCAGGACTAACAGGTTCATAGATAAAAGGCTTTGATCATGCTAATACTTTACATAAGAATACATGTAAATTAATTAACTACTGTATTTGATGTGTGAAATTAAAATATGGGTTATATCTCCTGACATATAGATAAACAAGTTAATGTGCTGAAACAATATTGCACTGACTTGAGTATTCCTGCAAGACGGCTACTAAGTCATCACGGCTGTCCTTTACACGATCTGGAGAAGCTTCCACAACAAGTACTAGACGATGACTTTCTTGAACCAGGTTTACCTGCAACACAAATATTGATCATTGTTATAATTAACATCACTATTTAAAATTGTAATACTGTATCCTTATTTATGAAATCCCTCTCACAATCTCTCAATCCCAATTTATCATCTTGTATACAAATAAGATATATATATATATATATGTATCCAGAACAGAGCAGAGCATCCAGAACAGTGTGTTGCGATTTGTGGCTAACGTGTCACTTACAGACAGGGTGCGCACTGACAACCTTCATACCAGATTGAAAATAGGCCCGCTGAACATTTGCCTGCACAGCCTCTCGATCAAGAGGTGCACAAAATGAAGAGCATGAATCTACCTAACCGTGAAGACTCCTTTGTGATACACAATACAACTATGAAATATGAAATACCCGACCAGCCCCACAAAAGGAGGAGAATGTCCCTCCAGCAAAAAGTACTAAGCTACATCCACGACAGGGGCTTCCCAAAACCTAGAATTCTGAGCAACCTGCCAACCAAAAGAAGAGTGGGAACCACCAGCCCCAATGTTCACCCAAGTCCCATTACCAGAAGAGTAAAGTCTAACATACAAACTCCACTTTCCCAACAAACCACTGAACTCAAACTGCGAATGCATAGCTCTCTGGGTACTAATGCAGTGAGCTGGCTGCACCCCTTCGTATTAAAAAAAGAAAAAAAAGAGCACTACACAAATGAGCACATCTCAGATCATGTATCACCCCAAAACCACACCACAGCATCACCTCTATCACTAAAATCCCCAGAGTGGTTGGGCCACTCACCTGTAAATCCTCCTCCCCCCTCTTATCCCAAACCCCTTTCAACTTTTCCTGCAGCCTCACCCCATCCTTCTTCCCCCACTTACCAGCCCTATGGTCTTTGGATTCGGATTTGGACCCAACAAATCACTTAGAAAATGCAAAATGATTATCAAAATTTTACGGGTCACTGAGCAGCACCCTGGAGAGCCCGGAATATTTACGATTGGGAACGTGCAAAGAAAGTGTTAATGTTACACAACACAGCACTAAAATTACTATACACTTAATTGCCAATGTCATTTCTGGCTACCTGCTGCTGAGGCTTCACCAGTTGAAGGGCCTTGGCTTTCTGGTGAGCATGGGTCTTCCAATGTCATTCAGTAACTTGGCTAAAACTCCCACCAACCCAGATTTCTGTCAGTTTGGCAATTTCGAGTATTTTAGCTGAATTACCCAAAGGTCTTGGTTAATGGGGGTCTGAATTAGCGAGCTCTTACAGTATATGGATGTCATTAAATTCAGTGCATATTGTATTATAAAAACTATTGGCCCTAAAATGTAACTTTGCAGTACTATACTATCAAAATAGTATTTTTCCAGTATGAATGCTTTGCAGTCTGAGTTTTTAATCATTGTTTTATCCATTCCAATAACTTTTTGTTGATTCCAATTGATCATCCCTCATTCTTCTCTAATAGTGATATAAGGCTCAGAGTGCATGAAATTGGCCATGTGTGCACTCTTGTATGAATGAGTGAAATAAAAAAGTAAGTGACTAAGAAAGGGATTTGTTGGCATGTGACTGTAAGTGTTGCCTAATCATAAATTATTTGCAATGAAGATGGCACCATACTTACAATAACAGGAACAGCTGTCGAGTGCGACACATCACCACCAGGTATCGACTCCCCAGCAGCATGATTAGGGTTATCCCGAGCCACCACAGTCAAGTTGAACGGTAAGAGCTCACGTGGCACGGACGACATCTCGCGCTCCGTCCTCAGGAGACCTGAGGTGGGCCCAATACTGAAGTATCCACCCCGGTTACTCTCTGGAACTAGGCCATATTGTATGTGGCCAAATTCTCCTGAGTCCTTGTCCTTTGCCTGTAATGAATTAGGAATTTCTTGTTCAAATGTATTGCTTAATATATATACATTTTTGAACAATGAAAAAACTTCCTTCCAGTGTTAAGGTATATGAATGTATCTCCCTGCATCCCCTGTGATTAAGGGAGGAGAGGCAGATTGTGCTTTGACCCATCTTCTCCAGTTCCTTGCCTCCAAAAATATCCTCTGCCTATTATCTGGGGCTCACACCTGCCTGGACCCCCCAGAATGCAAGTGTACCATTCTCTTCTTGTCCACTTTACAAGAGGGTGAACCATTACAGTACTCATCAAAATTATGCACTCACCTACTTGAGGAGGCACTCATTTAAGGCAAAAATAGGATGGTGGTCTTATGGGTGGAAGATTGTAGACAGAAGTACAGTATGTACATGACGTCAGGGTGTGTGTTACCTTCCTAGAGTCACACAGCTGGAATGCTTGGCTGCCCTTGGGCATTCATAGTGAGTGGTTGTGATGTGTCTTGCTCTGGCACCTTGCCGTGTTTTATAGCAGTTAACAGTGATGGTGGTATGACATTATTATTTTGCTAGGTGATATAAGAACAAAGAAACACTTGCTAAAATCACTGCTTTAAAGGAAACTGGCCATCAAAGTAAGGAAATACAGTGTGTCCTCACTTGAACAAACTATATGGGGCGAAGCCGATTCGTTCCAGTGCGGAATTCGTTCCATCCGTCCGGCCCCAACAACCTTCTTATTTTTTTTTTTTTTAAACATATGCCAGGACACATTAGTTTGTTTCTGTGTTGTGTGGTGCTTCATTATAATATCTTTCATGCTCTTTTGGTGTCAATAATAATCTGAGATGCGAGAATCACCATCCCCCACCCCACTCACACCATCCCCCACACCATCCCTCACACCACCCACACCATCCCCCACACCACCCACACCATCCTCCACACCACCCACACCATCCTCCACACCACCCACACCATCCTCCACACCACCCACACCATCCTCCACACCACCCACACCATCCTCCACACCACGCACACCATCCTCCACACCACCCATACCATCCCCACACCACCCATACCATCCCCCACACCACCCACACCATCCCCACACCATCCTCCACACCACCCACACCATCCCCCACACCACCCATACCATCCCCCACACCACCCATACCATCCCCCACACCACCCATACCATCCCCCACACCACCCACACCATCCCCCACACCGCCCACACCATCCCCCACACCACCCACACCATCCCCCACACCACCCACACCATCCCCCACACCACCCACACCATCCCCCACACCACCCATACCATCCCCCACACCACCCATACCATCCCCCACACCACCCACACCATCCCCCACACCACCCATACCATCCCCACACCACCCACACCATCCCCCACACCACCCACACCATCCTCCACACCATCCACACCATCCTCCACACCATCCTCCACACCATCCCCCACACCACCCACACCATCCCCCACACCACTAACACCATTCGCCCCCACCACCCACACCACCACCCACACACCCCACACCACCACCCACACCATCCCCCACACACCCCACACCACCACCCACATCATCCCCCACACCACCCACACCATCCCCCACTGGGGGGGGGGATGTTAATTGTTGGGTGTAGCCAATTCGACATTAGGAAGTATTGTGTGCGCTTCTGAGGGGGGAAACATTGGTGACAAGCCATCACAGAAAATTGGTCTGGTCATTTCAGGAAAATGTCTTCAAGGTCTGTGAACATTCTTAACATACTCTTCATGTTACAGCAAGACCTTGAAGTTTCCTTGGAATGACCCGACATGTTTCTGTGATGGAGTATCACCAGTGTTTTCCCTCTTGGAAGTGCGTACAATAATTCATGTTGACTTGGCTACACCAAGCAATTAACTTATTTCCTTACTTTGGTCGCCTTCTTTTTTCAAGCAATGATCTGAGGAATGGTTTATTTGCTTTTGCTATTATGGCACCTACCAAAGAAATAATAATATAGCACATGAACTGCTAATAAGTGCCAAAAAAGAAAACAGATGGCCAGAGAGCAAAATGCAGCACAAAACTACTAATGATGACAGCCAAGAGGCCACTGGCTCTGGTATTGTGGCCACTCCAGAAAGCTAACGCCTGCCATGACGTCAAGTAGCCGATATAGTTTTTACAGTAACTGTAAAACTAAATCTGTAACTATATCTGTAAACTTAACTCTTCCTAGGCCTAATGTAGTACATATATGCTATAAATTAGGACCAAGATTGCATATGTTAGTCCTAGGACAGGTTAGGTTAAGTTTATGGTTAGGTTGTTTCACCATTTAAGTTTTTTTTTTTTTTTTTGGTAGTAGTACAAAACACTGACTTCTTGGTGTGCAACAATCTATATTTTGTACATTCTATCCATATTAGCTATAAGTACTATTAGTCTTCAAAGATGGGATGAAATGTTCATAATTATAGTGCAGTAGCTACTGATAATATAAAGCTGAAACATTTATGACCATGGAAATTCAGTCTCAATCTTTTAAGGTGAAAGCCAAATTACTACAATATTGACCATTGATGTCATCACAAATGGAAGGAAAGGTCAAAGACAGCGTGTTATAATGAAATAATAATTCATACTTAATAAAATACCCCGTTACTTACTGTAACTTGCAGAACCGATGTAGATATTTGTGAATCTTCAGCCACAAAGGCAAAATAACTGCCATGTGTATTATCATTGTAAGGCGCTTTGAATATAAACTCTGGCTCATTGTCGTTCACATCTGCTACACTGATCTCAACCTGAGGAAGGGGATTTGTTAGTACATCTCCACACCATTTACCTCATCCTTATTGAAAGACATTTGAAGGAACATTTGAAATCTGCAATATTTTTAATGAATTTTAGTATAAAATTTATTCAAAATAACCCTTCTCAGCTAATTTAAATTTACTGAAATATTTTATCATATACAGTAGTTTTAAAGTGCTATAAAATTAAGCTGCGGTTTTTGATGCCAGGGAAGCTTTGAGGGTACGTGATGTGGTCCTGAAAATATAACCTCTTTTAAATTCTATTTTTGACTGATAAATGATCTAAAGTTACACAATTGTAAATCAAAATCATCTATGCTTCACAAACCCTAGGTTCTTTATTATACAAAATTTTTAAAGCATATATAGTACAGTAGGTGCTCAGTAGTCTGCAGTCCAGTAATCGGCAAGATTTTACATTAAAGTTTTTTTACTTCTTTTTTTTTAATCTTTTTAACCCAGATGATATTCAGGTTAACGAGAGTTCAGCTGGATGACAAATTCAAATATGTGGCAACCTATGCTCATACTAACACAACTTACATTAAAACAATTTATTAATAAAATAAAGAAATAATATTTAATATTAGGACAAATAATAATTGATCATTAAAAACTGTATGCATAGGCTGTGCACTGTATTTCCCTACTAAAAGACATTTTTTCTTGATCTAATCATGTGTGACAGTGGGTCATGAAAGAGACGTCTCACTCAGCAGCATTGTCATCTTCTCAGCAGCACCAACCCACAGACTCCCCACTACTAGAATATGAGACTGCCCCCAACACCCACACCCCACTCCCACCCGAAACTCACACCCCAACTCCCACCTGACACCCACACCCTCTCCACGACACCCACACACCACGTTTCAGTTGTTGAATCAACGAGCAAAACTGATGTGCGTGGTCATCAATTAAGAACAAGGACAAGATGGTCAAGGTGTAAGCATCCACCTGGACTCATAAAAGTGACCCACCCAACACTGCTTGACTACAGTTGTTTCAAATATTTGTCATTATTAAAGTTGATCCCTGCCCATCCTGTGCAATATTAATAAATACAACATACTTTAATACTTATGCAGATTACAATGGCCATACAGTGAGTTCTTTATCAACATCACAGTTGTGAACAAGCAAAGCAAATATTTACTGAATTATGTGATGTCACAAGGTAATTTAAAATGGATTCATGAAACGGCTGACTGGACATTTGACTGAAATGTCATTTCTTCAGCAATAATCTAAAACTTTGACAAAAATCTGTCCTGTTTTAAAGGGACGGTGCCTGTTCTCAAGTGTATTAAGTTTGACAATGAGTCTGTTGGAAAACCAAAATGAAACTTGTGTCCATGCATCATTATGATTGCTCTAAAAACTGCATAAAGTAAAGCACATCTTACAATAGCTGAAACTCTGATACTGTCATGCTGTTAAAATACTGTAGGTTGCATTTTGGGAGAGAATGTGATATGGAAGTTGAACACAGCATTATTGATGAATGAAACTGAGTCAAAGTATCTCTGACTTAAAATTAGATACAACCAAAATACAGTTATCATGGAAATCAAAGATACTCCTCTTGGCATCTTTGCAGTTCAAATAATCAGTCTATACAATAGTCATTTTGGATGAACAAATCATTAGAGCCAGATAGCAGAACATGTCTGTAGACCCATATGGGCTGCTTGTTCAACGAAGCAACTAAACTCCAGTATCCTAGAAACAGGTGGCACCTTAATTTAATAGGCATTGTTCATGTTAACTAGTGATAAATCTAATGTTAATGTACCCCCTCTCAATGTTAAATCATTCCACAATCAAAATCAAAATGTTAATCAATCCTTCAGTCCTGGGATTGAAAGAAGCTCAAGGGCTACAGAATGAAAAGATTGAGAACCAATTCAATATGTCTAACTTCATACCCAAGATAATTTTAAGAAAATGTTTTCGAGATCCTGTCAAGAGACATAACCAATTTACCTTTGCAATTCTGTTTTCAGTGTCTGGTGGAGCTGTGGGGGCCTCCATGGCTACTGTGAGAGAGTAGTGCTGGGCAGACTCAAAATCCAGGGGGGCTTGTAGTGTCAGGCCACAATGATTCTCAGGGGTTACTTCTATGCCAAATGTTTCTGCAAGGATAATATATTTTTTTGTAAACATTGTAAAAATAAATTATTTTACATCATATAACCTGTTTACAAAATTATTTTTAAGTACACTGTACTGTATTTGAAATCTAATAAAACTTAATTTTTATGTTTTGATATTTAACAAACACTTCACGGATATAGGAGTATGAAATAGCTTCTATTCATATTTGCATGTAGGCTGAGCACTGTTCTCTGCCTTGGCTCATGTTGGCGCCTACTGCTAATATTTTGTTCCTAAAACACAATTTCTCAATTAAGTCACATCGCTGTTTCAATCACTGCTGAGTGCACATGGATAATGGAGAAGAACTTTATCCAGAGCATTCATCCCTGCCCAAGATTCATACTAAAATATTTATTCCTTGCAAAGCAAGATTTTCACTTACTACACCACCTAATGCAACTCCCATCACTAGGCAAGTACATCACTTAAACCATCCTCACCTCACTGTGACAAGGGGTATAGAGATACAAATCAGGAAAACATGTTTATGTTGTATTTCTCGTAGACTTGCTACAACTTTCTCTTCTTCCAACTGTCATTACACTTGCTCATTTATATTGTCTTTACCCATGGACTCTATCACTGTTAACTAACAGTGATAAAGTGGTAACAAATCCATGGACTTGCCTACCTACTGATGCCATAAATGGCAAGATAGTACTCCAGTTATAAATACAACTGGAAATAATCCTCAGGAATTATTTCCTTTGACACTTATGACCGTGTCAATAAGTGTCAAAGGAAGACCTTTGACACTTATGACAGAGGTCCTCACTTAAATACCAATTACACTTTCTTCATCAATATTAATATTAAACTTTGACCAATAATCATAACACTTACACTTTGACACCCTCTCCCCCTCTCCTCTCATACTATTTACACTTCCACTCCATCTCATACCATTTTTCTTCCCATCTCATAGTATTGTCAGTAAACACACTATCCTTAATCTTATGAGTCAAAAGACTAATGGTGGTGTTGCAGAAAGATGAGGAACAAAGTGAAAATTTTGTATTTGGAAAAATCAAATTCAGTAATGTATGTAGAGAAGATACATCTACATTAATTACTACAATCATATATATTAATGTTAATAAATGCAAATCACAGTGATCAACTGAAACAAATAAAACACTAAATGCACACATTAGCAGCAGCAAAGAGAGATGACATTTTCATCCATTTTGTACCATTATCTAGTCATTTATTCAAGGAAGTTACACTAACATAATACATCAATGAGAGTCAATTGGAGCACTGCAGGGAGTCAAACCTGCAAGCTGGACACTCCCAGCCACATGCCTTAACTCACTATCATGATACACTATAGGTAACTTAACCTGAGATCCTACTCAAGACTCCTAGTGGATTTAGTAGGATTCCAGGTTAAATTACTCATAGCACATTGTGGTGCAGTGGGTTAAGGGGCACTGCTGGGAGTACCCAGATTGCTGGTTCAAATCCTTGCATTGCTCCAACTGATTTTTTCAAATCATTTATTGTGCTAGAATATAGAATTTATTATATATAAAACAGATTTGTGAGTTATAAAATACTATGTGTATTGTTTCATTATAAAATCTTATACAATGACTTGCACAAAATTTTAGATAAATTTTAATTGTTGGAAATGTTTTTCCATCCAAAATGACAAAAGTTTTTACTTTTCATTGCTATCATGATCCTATTTCCCACATACATAGGCTGGGGCAGGGGTGGGAAAACTGTGGCCTAATGCGGTATTCAGTGTAGCCTTCGAAACCATTTTAAATTAACGGAACTTGAAAAATAGGTTTGTTTTTGACATATCTGAATGTAAACACCATAATACAATGTATGTCCTTATGAAATCTAAGTAAAATATGGGTTTTTCATGAAAAATGTTCACTCACCTTCTGTATTTCCATCAATAATAGTGCAACGAAGGGCTTCACCATCCTCAGGTCTGTTTAACACTGTTAGTCTCTTCACCAGTGTGGCCACCTGAGCATCCTCCAAGACTTCAACAGAGAACTGGGTGTCGGTGAATGTTGCCCATGCCTCAACAGGTGGTGGCTCTACTCTGGCCCTCTCTATTGATATTGAAGCTGTTGAGGTGGTACTCAACTGCGGCTCTCCTCCATCACGAGCCACAATCTCTAGCTGTTTGATAGTGTCACAGGAATTGGTTACAGTAAATATCCTGAGACAATATTTTCAAACATCAGATACTATATTTCTCATTCTTGATCTTTTCTACTACTCACTAATTACTCACAAAATTACTCTACTACCCACTAAATTACTCACCAACTTATTCCTATCAAACTTACAGTATCTGTGCATACCTCCACAAACTACCTGAAACCAATTATCACCCAGCAAAAACCAGCGGGATTGAACCTGGAGAATGAGTTTAGAAAGAATACCAAATGTTTAGAAATCGTTTTTTGCTATATTTAGTACTGGAAATTCTAGTTGTTATTAATGAGAACACCAAAGAATTTACCATCTATTCTATAGACAAGGAGTCACAATAACGTGGCTGAAATATGTTGAACAAACCACACACTAGAAAGTGAAGGGACGCATTTTTCGGTCCATCCTGGACCATTCTAAGTCGACAATCGACTTGAGAATGGTCCAGGACGGACCGAAATGTCGTCTTCCCTTCACTTTCTAGTGTGTTGTTTGGTCAACATACCATCTATTCTGTTACTCATTTGGATATTGTTAATTCTTAGGTTAATTGGTGGATTTATTTCCAAACAAAATATAGAAGGTTTTATCAATGTTAAGGTTGAGTCAGCCAGCAACTTTTCCTCATGGTCATGATCTCGGCAGATTTGTTGACTTTCAGAAATTTTGGGTCATATGTTGCTCTCTCTTAATATTTAAGCTCATGGGTTTTGACCAAAACTATTAACTAAACCATATGCTCAGTCACATAAAAGTTTGTAAATATTTTTGCTTAGTTTAAAAATAAATATGTAAAAAAACCAGCGTTGAATGTAATGAAACGCCATTTTCTGGGTGAGACCCGGAGGCTCCCCGGAGCTTTACCGGCTGATATGCTAATGTCAGACTTTGGCATCAGTCATGTGTATGGAGTTCTAGGGCCTACCGGGGACCACGAGCCAGAACCTGGCCCCCTCAGAGAGGCAAGGGGAGCAATGGCCTATAGAAACCCCCGTGTGGTTGGAAGCATTCTATGTCTGCCATCGACCGGGTCAAGCATCCAGAAAGGTAAGCATTCCAAAACAAACCCCTATTCTGGTGAAAATTGCTACCTAAGCTGAACTAGTGGATAGAACTCTTCAACAGAAAACAAGGAAACTAGTATGACGTCATACGTCACCGCGCCGCTGTCTGCGCAGCTCCCCCCTCCCCGGGAGGGGGAAGGGGGAGCCCCAGACCTCCCACGCCGGCTATCCACCCATCAGTTCTGAGGCTGGATGTCAAAACACGCGAAAAACGCCGACCGGAGGGAGGGAGGGTTGCCGGGGAGCCTCCGGGTCTCACCCAGAAAATGGCGTTTCATTACATTCAACGCTGGTTTTCTGGGGGGAGCCCCGTCGGCTCCCCGGAGCTAACTACCCACAGAGGAAGGTCAAAGGGACAAAACCGGGAGGCGGACACCACGCACCCCCCAAGGAGGCGAGACAACCGGCAGCAAACGCCAACCCAAGGCGCCACAGCCCCGAAAATCCCGGGAACAACACGAGAACCACGAGCAGCAAGGCCCCTGCACGAACACCAAAAATCCAAGCCCGAAAGACTGCAAGGCCACGTCGCCCAGACGGCAGCGAGAGCAGCGAAGCCACGAACGCCACAGGCATGAGGGAAGAACACAGGCAGCTTAGCCGCAAGAACACGGCTGACCACCCGGGACACCATCACCCGCGAACCGGGAAGAACAGAACCGGATCAACGCAAAACGCTCCGGACCCAAACGCCGTGGCACGCAAACAACAGCGGAGGGCCGCCACTGAACACAAAAACGACACACCCCCGGCCCGACCAACGAAGCACCAACAAACCCTGGACCCCTCCAGAATGCAGCAGCCCCACCCCGCGCCAGAAAAGATGGAGACTGCTGCCATCAAACAACCAAAACGCTAAAACCGAAGGAGCAAGAAAACTCAGCGAACCGACCCCCAGAGGCAAAGGCCCAAAGGAAAGAGCCGACGAAAAAACACACCGGAACCGAAGGGGCACTACCAACCAAGGAGAAGACAGAGCACGCTGACCAGAGACCAGGATGGTGCAAGCGGCGCATGAACAGGCCGGAGGTGAAACGACGCACAAGACAGCTGACTAACGGTGCAGAAGCAACACCAAGACCGAAAGCAAGCTGAAGCGGCTCCGCCTGCGCCGCACGAAAAGAGGCGACAGTATGTGGCAAGACGACGGCCCCCAACCCCCACTAGAAAACCAAGCCAAGAGTAAACCAAGCCAACAAGAGTAACCACCTAAGAAGGGACAGGAAAAGGAAGGACCGCCAAAATACCCATACTGCCGCCAAGAGAAGCACGCAGGTGGGACACCTACCACGAAGCCACCCGACCACCAACCGGAGGCGAGACCACAAGGCAGAACATAAGCAGCCCCGACAAGGCCCCCCCGAGCCCAGGAAAAAGGCGGAGCCGCGAGAAGATCTCGGGCGCGACCACCGAAACCCAGGCGGCACAAGGAGATGGAACGTCTGCCGAACAGAAAAACTCCCCAAAGCATGCAAGCCCGCCAGGAGTTCAGAAACGACGGGTCCGACGCGAGACATCGCAAGAACCCCCCCCCAAAAAAAAAAAAAACAACCGGCAGGGCAAGCTAGGAAAACCAAAGAAGGCGGAAGGGTCGCCGCCAGAACAGGACCCGAACCAAGGGGCACGAACAACTGCAATAGACCGAGACAAAGAAGCACATCACAGGACACAGGCTGACCAACGCCTAAGAACACACGCAGAACATCCCTGCTGCAGAGGAGGCAGGAAGAAAGAGCAGAAGCACAAAAAACCCCAGGAGAACAACCAGGGGTGGACAATCAGGCAGGGACAAAAACCGCACGCAATCCCCAGGCACAAAACGGCAGCAAAGTGCCACTCCACAACCGGACACAGGAACAAGGACACGCCATCGTGAAACACGGTACCAATGCACACGTGCAGCAGCAGCAGCAGCAACAGGCACCACTGCAACATGCAACATGTAAATAGCAACTCCCCTCTGCAAAGGCAGAGAACGGAGCAGGCAGACCCCAGACAGGGCCAACGGAGACACAACAAAAACCTTGCAGGCCCAGAAACCTGCACCAGGCGACCGACGGCGGAGAAACCCCGCTCGATACCTGCTGGATGAGGTACTGGGAGCTCTTTTACACCTGAAGCCCGGCCCAAGGTCAGGCCAGACCGGCCAGAGGATGGCCCACCAGGCAGCTGCTAGGAGCAGTCCACCGGCCCACATACCCCCACAACCAGGACGGGCCGGAACTGCCATACGAAAACAGGCCAGTGCGCCCTGGAAGTCCACGGACGAACCAGCAAGAAGGCTTATGCTCGCAAGTAGGTCGTGTAACAAGCACAGACCACTGATGGTAATACAGTGTTCCCCAAAAGTGCCAATAGCACCACTGCACTCCACTGGTACTATCCCGCAAGTTCTACCAGATAGGCGGGACCCAAGAGCCAGAGCTCAAATCCTGCAAGCACAGCCAGGAGCCTCACCAGGTGAGTACAGAACCAACCCTACAACCCCCACACCTCACAACATTAAAAAGGAGGGTCCCCTGAATGACTCCAGCATGGGTTGGACATGCACATGAGGGGGACAGGAAGGGGTGATAAAGGGACAGTCACTGGTGTGCGAACGGTCTCAGTCGTACAAAAATATACCTAAATAAAGACAGGTATATAAACACCGCCGCATCCAGCGCCCGGCCAAAAGACGCCAGACTGCAGAAACTCACCTGGCGAATGGTGGCACGAACTTGACACGACTCAACCGTGCCCAGAAGAACTTGGGAGCACCGCCAAGTGAAGACGCCAGAGCCGGACCCTGCCGGACCCGCAGGAGAACAGGGAGAGGCGAAGGAGGCGGTCCACACCCATGACACAGGGAAAACCGCGGTGTCCTCCCCACAACTGGGAACCAGGACACCCCCGGCGCGAAGGGGCACATACCGCAGCCAGGGAGAAGAACGAGAGGCGAAGCACTGTAGCAAAAAAGGGGCGCAAAACCCCAGCACTGAAACACCGCCCAGACCAAAACAAACTCCACGGCGCATGCGCATAACACGCTGGCCGAACCGCACACCCTCCCTGCGGGAAGGCGCCAGCCAGGACTACTGCACGAGAAAAGTAGCCAAAAGAGGAAGCAGGAACAATAAAACCGGCCAAAGAAGCAAAGAGCCCAAAAAGGAACCCAACCGGGCGACAAGGAGCCCAACCGGGCGACAAGTAGCCCAACAGGGCGACAAGTAGCCCAACAGGGCGACAAGTAGCCCAACAGGGCGACAAGTAGCCCAACAGGGCGACAAGTAGCCCAACAGGGCGACAAGTAGCCCAACAGGGCGACAAGTAGCCCAACAGGGCGACAAGTACGAGGAGCCGACAGACGTTCCAATAATGCGGGAAGTAGCGAAAAACCGTCCCGTACCCTCGAGAACACAGAAGCCAACACTAGTCCCGAAGGCACACGAAGGCGCAGGCGCACCCGAGATCAGAAGTCACGCAGAACCCCATCGAACGGGGAAACATGACAAAAACACCGTCCCAAAAAGGGGGGGAGGAAACATCCACCCACATGACGGAACCAACCGACTCAAAGGCCAAGGAACCGAGCCCGGGGAGGGGCCGACGTCCAACAGCACGTACGGCGAGTGGGGAGGAAAGATCCCACTCCGCGTAACCACAAGCCCCGCCTTGAGGGGGATAAAAAAAAAACCCACGGGGTCTAACGGGGCCAAGGCCCCCCCCCAAGTCAGCCCCTCCCCAGCCCCGGGAACCTACACGACAGGCCCCGGGGCCGAGCCGTTCCCCCAAAGCCCCGGCCGTACCAGAAAATCGGGGCAGCCGTGAAAACACTAAGGAAGGGAGCCCACTGGCAGACTCATACAACACGGCTGGAGGAACAGGCCCAAATGCCCCCGTCACTACCCCGGAAGGGGAATTCCCCGAGACTGCCCGAGTCTCAACACCACCAAAAACCCCGCCCCGAACCTACAGACGGTAAGGAACCGGATGCAGGCAGGAAGGGTGAACCAGGGGAAAGACAAGGGGGCGTGGATGGAACCGAAGCAACCAACACCCCCAAGTCCCAAAACGAACTACAACGGGGCAGCCCCGGGGCTCCCGGGGAGGAAACCACGAGAACGTTGCCACCACCAAGGCTCAAGTGCAACGCCCCTG